TTTAACCAATGAGAAACTGTGCGTCGAGAAGCAAGGATAAGCGAGAGAGCACAACAGGATGTGAGGGCGCAGACACTCCGATGTTGCGAATGAGGAAAAGTGGTAGCTGTCGAAGCGCTCACGGGAAGGCTCTGGTCCTGTCGTACACGGTTGGAGCCGAAGGCAAGGGTCATCTGCGAGTTTAGTAGGTAGCTTTATCCGACCCAGAATAGGGATTTATCCACCAGAACCCTTCATGGGGTGTGCCTGAAAGTCGGCAGAATATGTAAAAGACAACGTTAAACGTGCTTTGAATGAGGATTTGCAACTGATTTACCCTTACTGTTCGAGATGAAGTAAAGAGAGAGCGCGTCAGGATGAGAGACTTTGACGACCAGAGGGCGAGACATAATAAGGATCAGCGAGGCGCAGGCAAAGATGGCACTACAGGGTGGGCAGCGGTTGGAGCCCATTGTCATGATTCCGAATCCGCCTTCTGAAGGAATGATGTCAGATGTCACTTCCTGAAACCTGCACACTTTCCACCAGCCTGGGTAATTTTTGGAGGCTATCGCTAAATGTGTCTCCAACTCAGAATGCAGGGTACCCGACAGGAGGCCCGTCGCGCGGCAAGAAGGCAGAGTCAGCGGACGAGTCGCAGCGCGTGATGTGCGATGTAGGACGTGCAATGGTACATTCTATTTAACTTGACGCGAAATCTACAGTACGCGCTGCGACTCGTCCGCTGACTCTGCCTTCTTGCCGCGCGACGGGCCTCCTGTCGGGTACCCCAGAATGCGTGTCAATGAGAATATGTTCGCCTGTTCCGGATTTCAGAACTTGAATCGTTGGATGGGCGCAAAGCGGCTGGTTCTCTACGGTGCCATCATCAACGTTCTGGGCACGTTCGCCACACCAACAGTGGCCAGCTATCTAGGAGCCATCCCAATGGTCATTCTACGATTTGTCATGGGTTTTGGCCAGGTAAAACTTCAGTTGTTGGATCACTTGAAAGTCCTTGACGTTTCACATTAGGATCGTTTTAGGGTTTGCTCTGGCCATGTATGAGTGTCCTTGTGGGCCACTGGTTCCCTCCTACCGAGAAGAGTACAGCTTTAGCCATTGCAACCACAGGAAATCAGGTTCTGTATACGATTTTCAGATTTTTTATGGTAACATGTCGTGTTTCTCACATTTTGTTGCGTGCGGCTGCGTTGCGGTTCTAGGATCACTGTGTTCTCTTTCCTCAAAGGCATTGATCACGGCGGTTGGAGGGCGGTGCGGTTTTGATGACGTCATTGACGTTACGCTAATTGTTGGAAGGACCTCGAGAGGATGGTTTATTTCAACCACATCCTCTCGTGTATGAGGGGTCTGTTTTACAAATGACACTTGATGACGTCATCGGAACCGCACCGCCCCCACCCATTGCTATCACTCGCTTCAACTGCCATGGCCCTCGTACAACTGACTTCACTTGAAAAATCATACACTACGAGACTTCAGATAGAATAACGGTTTAGGCTAGGAAGTATCTATTCCTAAGAACCGCGACGCGTCCGCTGACGCGGGACCGCCTTATCTGGCACATGAAATTTACCTTTTACAGCTTTCGGTCGTCATTGCAATGTTTGCAACGGCTGAATTGTGTCAGGTGCCGTTTATGGGCGGTTGGCCGATGGCTTTTCATGTTTACGGGAAGATCTATTTCGGTTTTGCGTCACGAACCTCTAGGCTCAACCGAGTTTAGGTATTCTTGGTGTACTGCTGCTGTATTCTTTGGCAAGTTTTTGTCGCCGACGATCCCGCAAACGCCAGAGGTATCACCAACGAGGAAATCCAAGTCATCACAAATGCAGCCGGTCGGCGGCCTCGTGTGCAGGTATCCTGGCGAAGAATAAGGGTCTCATCCAGTAAGGGAGCGAGGGAGGAGGCATGGGCAATAGTTGCTGCCGCTTACAGAAGTTCCAATTTTCAAAGGAGGCCATAACGATCTCGCTGCTCCCACCCCGAAAGCTTTCTCCTTAGGAAACAACTGGGTTACTCCAGGCGACATGAACTGTCGACCACGTGCTCCCCCCCCTTACTGGATGAGACCCGAAGATCAAAACCAGCATGCACAAATCCACCAAAATGAATTCTAGCGTGCCAATTGGGCGCAGCTGCTGTCGTCCCCAGTGGTGTGGTCTATTGCTGGAAGTGCATTCGCTCATAACTTCATAACCGTCGGAACGGTCACCTATCTTCCACTGTACTACAAAACTGTACTGAACATGAGCTTAACCTCGGTAAGTACCACTTTTCCCATGTTTTTTTTTGTGAAACGCACCGTTATCAGTTGTTATGTGAAATGGAGGGGGCTAACACGCACTGATAAGAGCAATGTTTTCCTTTGGGATAGAGTGACCGCCGAGAAGCTGACGTCGCTTTTTTTCCGCAGTTCTATGTGCTAGGAATCAGGGATAAAATAGATTATAGAATAGGCTAAATTAGTGTAGCGCCAAGGAGCCCCACTGGTCGTTCACGGCCCGCACGATCTCATCCTTCCCAGATACCCAATATGCTGAACCTAGGACCTGCAGAGTTGCTACGTAGCTCTAGTAATGGAGCGCTACGCCAAACCTCTTCGACGTCTTCCGTCCTACTTGCCCTTGTTGCCGATGGAGACCAGCCGACTGTGACATGCGATGCTCTACGATCGTTGATAAATTCACTGCAATCGGTGTGAGTCAGGTGATTCACATTTGGCCGGTGCTTCTTAGCTAGCTGACCCGACTTACCGTAACCTTTCCACGCCATTCTGATGGGGGTAATATTGGCATAGACCCGTTTCCGATTAGTTTACAGCACGAATTTGAAGTTTTTAGATTGGATAACTGCTTCTTCGTCCAGAATTCTAGAGATAGGTAGTAGAAAAACAATTCATGACGTTTCGGGGAAGAAAAATGAAAAGAGGAAACAACGAAGGAGAGCATTCAGTCAGTAATTCTCCGTTTTACTATTCATCGCCAGTCCTACAAACTTGGAACTTGCGCATTTCTATGAATAAGGTACTTGCCAATGCAGTTGTGACGCACGCGACGCGCACCCGCTGCGACGCCGCCATGGGTACCTCATGACCCACAGCCGTGATGTTATCGAGATAATAAGTTCAAATGTGGCGTTGCGCATTGTGATCAGTACTGCTGTAAGGCTCAGGGAAACTCAGGAATTTCGAGTAGGTGCTCAAAGCAGAGCCTCCAGGAACCGTATTAGCAGCTGCAGCTCATTCTCAAAGATCAATACTCATTCCCCAGTTCTCTTTGTACTCTGTGACCTGCTTTAGAACGGGATCCTCTCAGCGTTGCCATTCATCTGCCAGTTTGTCTCCAAGGTCTTATACGCCGGCTTTGCTGATGAGTCGAAGAAACGCAATTGGATGGGTTTCACCAGCGTCACCAAAGCATGCAATTCTAGTGGTAAGAGGCACGGCTATTTCCAGCCATTACGGATAATTATATCGTTTCCCCATTCCTAGCTACTCTTCGTTTCAGCTTCTCTCGGGCTCGCCATTTGTTTCGGCTTATTGTGCTTTTGTGACTGTACGTACAGATGGACGGCTGTGATCTTGATTTGTTTGGCTATGGCGTTCATCTCGGGATATATCCCGGGTTACAACACAAGGTGAGACCATTTGCGCTCCTAGTCTGGTGTATGCCAGTCAATCAATATCTAGTCAGAACCATACGGATTAATACCCCGCTGCCTTACTAGCACAATCATCGAATCTGAAGAACGGCGTTCGCGGCCACGCCTCGCAACCGCTCGCGTCTTTGCCATCATTTGCGCTCCCTTCCATTTTGGTAAACTCTTTGCGAACATAGAATAAATAAAATTAAGATAGAATGTGTCAGGTGTCGAAGAAATTGTGGCAAGAACGGTTCCCCTGTTTCCCAGACAACCGCCACGATCTAGGTCCCCCCAGTTCAAGGATGTTGACGGTC